GTGTGTGTGTGTGTGTGTGTGTGTGTGTTTTACAGTGGGAGCTGTGTGATTGTGTCAAGGTCTCTGCAGAAAAAGTTGTTTCTGTGTCCTACAGCACAACGTCAACAAGCTGCAATGTCAGCTACTCGGTGCCAAGTAAGGACCCTCTTATATCTGGTGTCTCGTGCTTTATCTTTTTTGCTTGAATATTTTCTTTCTTTTTTTTTTGTTTTCCACATATTCTCTCTTGTTCTGTCCTCGGCCTGTAAGGGTCGTGAGATTTGTCGTCTCCGGTGCAGAGATAATAAAGGGTTCTTTTGCAGTGTAAGTAATTGTTGCTACTGCTGGAATTGGGACGTCTCCTGTTGGATTTTACGGCGTTGATTCAGGAAAGGCTTTTCCACTGAAGCGACGTGCGCACTGTCTTTTCTCTGAACTGCCCAGTGATTGGTCAAAGTCTCCCCTTACAGGCCAGAGAGGAAGTGCCAAGTTTAGTTTTCTTTCTGATTTACATCATGCTGACATGTTGTTATGTCACTGTTGCTCAGTAACATCACAAATATGTCACCTATACCGCAGCTTTAAAGGAAGAGAAACAACATTAAGTGACAGGGAAATTTTTTAGGTTGAGATCTTGTGAATATATTAGACTCTTCATGCTCATCAAAACATTTAGTAGCTTTTCATTCCCTGTGACAGTGATGGAAGGTGATCAGTCAACATAACTTTTCATTGTTCATATCATCGTCTATCTAAAGCTCAGATCAACTTCTTGGAGTTGTGTCAAATTCTCACCTCAGAAATGATCAAAAGAATCTTTTGACTAACAGGATACGTCCCTTAAAACTCCAGAACATTAACTTCTAAAGCCAGGTTACTTTTCTCAGCTAAACATTGATGGTTGTAACAGATTTCTATTCCTTTGTGTTACCATACAGCAGCTGACTACACTCCTATGAGACCACATTTAAATCCAGTAGATCCAGATTTACGTTTGGATCCACACCAAATTGCACACTCATCGATACCGACCCCCTAAATGTCCTATCTCGCAGTGTTAAAGAAAACGGGAGAAAATCCATGGATCTGTCCAATGATCAAAATTGAATGTGCTCTTCCCTGACACATACCACATCCTTCCAAGTGTTAATCGCTCCAGTAGTTTTTGCTAACAAACAAACAAACAAACACACAAACAAACAAACAAGAATGAAAACATAACCTCCTTGATGATGTGATAGTTGTCCGTTCATCCACGGGTTTACTGCAAAGAGGAACCACCAATACATAAGTTAACCCATTTTTAATTATGTCAATTTCGCAAATATAATAAAATTAGAACAAATACTTCCTGTTGATTCATCTAAAGCCCAGAACATGATTACCTCCCAAATAAAAGACTATAAATATGGACAGAAATGATAATAGTAGTTGACAAAGACTCGAGGCTCGCTGACCTGTGGCTTCTGCTTTTGTTTCTGTTTCTCAGTTTTTTCCTTCTTTCCTCTCATCTTTTTATTTTAACTCATCATCACATCCTGTCTGTCTGTGACGTAGATCCAGTGCCACAGTTCGCTCTGTCTGTGAATCGCTCGGTGAAATCCATCACTGTGACTGTGGAGCAGGGAGAGAAAGTGCACACCAGATGGTGTTACCTGAGAAGCGAGTGCATTGTCGAGTCACCTTCACCACGAATCACTGTAAGTCTCAGTGGCACATTTATCTGCATATACTCAAGTTTGTTTGGACGCAGTAAAGAAAATGTACAATATTGTTGTTTGTATGTTTGTTTGTTTCAGATTGATCCATCTCAGTCTCGCTCAGCTGTTCTTCACATCCCATACCTGCTGCCCTGCGTGTGCGTTCAGGTACCAGAGCTTCATGTACATTTTTTAATACAGGAAAAAATATATTTTTTTGTTGAATGAGTCTGTTTTCATTGCTGCACATGACTTGTCTGCATGCACAGGTATATTACACACACACAGACGCCCGACGAGAGAAGCAGTGTCCTTTTCAAAAGGAGACTCTCACAGGTGAGTGGAGTCAGAATCGTACTGAAAACTAATTCTTGTTTATTTGAAATATTTGTATTTCTGCGTGAAACAGAAATCTGGGGAATTTGTCTTTTCAGAATGTCACTCAGTAGAGCACATAACTCCACCATGTTCTAACAGTCACACTTAATTCAATCAATCTGCAACACTCACTGAAATCCCTCCCAAATCCGAAGAGCACACAACCAAGCAAAGCTGCTAGATGACATTAAAGTGTGATTGGAAACAGTAGAATAAGAACCTCATCCATTATGTGATTATGTTCAGAGCAGGACCCACCTTCAGTTTATAGAGCAAATAGTGTCCTGAGAAAATAATTTTAAAATGAATTCTTCTCGGTTCATCCGAATCACCAAGAGATGAACAGCGTTTACCCACTGACCCCTAGTGGTGTCTATCCATGCTGATCGTTTGGTTTGAATATGAGTCAAGGTTGAAGGGAACTCTGTGATTCAGATAGAACCGGAAAACGACATTTAAATAAACCTCAGCATTAATTTGTCTTTTCAGAAACAACACGGCTATTTAAGAAATTCTTTATTAAGTATCTCAGGGAGTTTTTCCCATTCAAGGCCATTCAGCATGATTTTACTTGGATGTTGATGTTGTGTTTTTTTGTAAATTGATGGAAGAGACATCAGTTTATATTATTCAGTCTGGCAAATTGAAATCTCGTAGGTTTTCCCATAATTGCATCTGTGTTTGTAACATATTCATATTCATGCATTCATATTCTCAAGACTCGACTGGAACTCCCTCACTGGTTTTAATAGATGTCATCACAACGATATTTATATTTGCTGCTTTTACATGACGCCGTCTTCTTATTGCTAAAGGTGCTATGAATTAAGTTAATATTATTATTACTCTGACTTCATTATTAACATTTTGCGTCCTCACCAGATGTGGAAGACGTGTGGCGCTCATCTGAGGTCATCATGTACGAGTCAGTTTTGAAGTGGAGCTCTGAGTGTCCTGTCAGCAGCATGAATATCTCCGCCCTCCTCTGCTGGAAGCAAGACGAGCACCTCTGCATCCCCGTGCTCAACTCCACTCTGGACAGACACGAGAACGGACCAACCCTGGTAAGTTTGGCGAGACCACTGCTGGTGCTGGTGATAGATTCCCAGTAGATACTTGTATTCTTAAATGCCCACTGTGTCTCCCACCCGACAGATATATAACACATCCACTGTGGACAAACACCCTAAGATGTGTGTGCAGGTGAGAATCAGCGAGATGTGTTTGAGAACATGTCCATTTGTTTAACCATCACTGCAGATTCACATTTTCTATATTTCATTTATGCAGTTTTCTCTACAAGGCAGCTATAATATATCTTGTCCTTTCCAGGCTGGTGAGTCAAACTTTTTTTTGGAATAATGAAAGTCTCCCCTCATCTCTCGTTTGTTTCTCTTTTAATCTTGATGCCCTCTTCTTCTTGGCTTTTACAGATATGTCTTCATGGGAGGTGAACATTGGATCAGGCAGGCAGAGTGTGTCTGTAAAACTCACCTCTTTGGCTCCAGCAAAGTTCTCCATTCAATTTTGCATCATTAACCAGATGAGATGTTCACCCATTGGCCCGGTGCACACACTAAGAATGGTACATTTATTCTGAGAGAGGAAAAAATTGTGATTTAATCTCATGTGAGTAAATCTGTGACTTTTCTTATCTGCTTCACAGGAGAGGGAAACCACAGAGACCAAGTTAAAAGTGCCTGCTCACATTCTTGTGCAGGCGCCCTGTGTCCAGGTAAAGTTAATTTAAAGGGTGAGAAAAGTTAATGCACCATGTTCAGAATCAACTCTCTCACTCTTGCTTCACTTTGTTTTTCTGCAGGTGTGGCAGTCACATCCTGCTCTGAACGGAAAAAGAATTCTGTGCCCAGACTGTAAGTGTGCTGAAGATATTTACACACACACTCACACACACAAGCCCACGTGTGCTTACACATGCACCTTTGTGTATGACTTCCTGCACGACTGCACATGTGCACACACAGCTCCTCCAAACTAAACAGATCAAATGCCTTTTCCTTTCACAGATGCGCGCAACAGATTTGGCCTGTATGTGATGGCAGCTCTGATACTTGTGATTATTTTTGCTTTGTTTGGTTTTTTCATCCACTGTCTCACCAGAAGTGGAGCTGCAGGTTAGTTTACCTTTCCTTAAGTACAAGTTCAAGGCTCTGGTTCATTTCGTCTGTAAGGTCATTGTTTGTGTCTTGCATGGTTTCATCTTCAGATTTAAAAATTGTTCTTTGATGTTAACCTCTTCAAATTTTCCACTTCTGTCTTTTCCCATATTCTTCAAGGCTGGCTTTGGATCCAGAAGGAAGTGCTGCTAGTGTGCTCATCAGAGCAGTCAGCCCACGTCTCTGCTGTGTGTGCATTAGCCTCTGTGCTCCAGGAGGAGCTTAAGGCCACCGTGCACACGGCTCTGTGGGCCCAAAGCTCACAGCCCGGGGCCAGGACTGGAGTGGCAGATGTGGGTCCTCTTCCCTGGCTGTACGGCCAGTGGGAAAGCATGCACAAGGCTCAAGGAAAAGTGTTAATTATCTGGAGCCCCGAGGCAAAGACGACCTATGAGAAATGGAAGGCAAGAGAAAACGTGGATAAGAGTGAGACAAAGAAAGAAAAAGGATTAGAAGTGGAAGAGGATTATAAACTAAATGGAATAAGACTTGGAAAAGGCAAAAAGAAGGAGAGAGCTGCATTCAAAGAAGATTGTGTAAAATTATGTCATGATAAAGACTTTTACACACAGAGGGAACCCTGCTCGGTGATAGCACCGGTGTTTGCAGGTGCTCTGGCCTGCCTGCATGGGTCGCTGCAGCATTGCAGAGGCCAAGGAGTTGCCATTGTCTACTTTCAAGGCTTCGGCCACAGCAGAGACATCCCAAAAGCCCTCAGAGACGTCCCTCGGTACTGCTTACCACAGGATTTCAGGGGTTTGATACAGGAGCTGGGAGGGATGAAGAGAGGGACCAAATCGAAGAGGCACTGTTGGCCCAGACTCATGTCTAAAGTGCAGTCAATATGGCTCGCACGACAGCTGGCCCAAAGACTGCAAACACTGCTGCCGCGGACGCAAGGACAGAAAACGCAGAGTGTCACATCATCACAGAAAAAGATGACAGAAAAGACAGAGCTGTCACTGGCTGCCGATGAGGCGAGTCCAGAAACTGTCCAAGAACAAGAGCCTCTTCAGGGGTCACCTTGGACGGCAGAGAGGCTTTAATCTCAAGTTCCGCACGTCTTACAGACTTTTGTTCTGCTGGAAACATGATATGTACATGAGATACAGGAGCCGCCGTTCTGTTGTGAACACCTCAGAGCCTGTTACTCAGTAGCAAATTTTCATCACTTGACACTTACATGCTGTTGAAAAATGCCGTTGCTTATCTTTTGCATATTGCAAAGAGGTAAATGCTCCATCCATTTGCATGTCCTGAACAAATATATTGAGCCAAAGCAGTCCCAAGATTTCAACTTGTACTGAGTCATGCTTTACTTTGTGGTTTTTTAAGTCATGTGTTAAAGTTTTTTTTACCTATTTTATCCTGTTAGACTTTATATACTTTACCATTACAATTCTGCTTCTGTTGCCTTTAGAAGGATGTATGTGGCCCTGTTTGTGTGCAGCCCTGTAGTTATTAATTATATTTTAGCAGATGCTGGCTCCCTCAAGCACAGAGTATAAATCAGGCACCCCGTTCATTAAGAAAACATTATTGAAAGGTAGGACATGAAAAATATGTGTTTCCTCAAAGACTTAGCTTCCTGCAGAGAGATAAAGAGAAAACCATATATCATTATCTCAACTGCTTAACAGGAAGACGCAGCCAATCACAGTTCAAACAGACACAACAACCATTCTCAACTAAGGTCAATTTATAATCACCAATTCATTTTACCCAGAATCTGCACATCTTTAGAGTGTCGGTAAACATGCAAACACAGAAAGGCCCCAGGAGTTGAACTTGAAGTGAGGCGGGAGGGCTTCCCACCTCCATGCCGCCCAGAGAAGAACAGTATTATTCAAATATTACCAACGGGAAATATCACGTATGGACATTACCTCAAAAGCATTTAGAGCAAGAAAACCATGACCAGATTGGATGCCATCATAGTTCAATGGTAAACTTTCTGCAAAGCAACTTTAAACAGCACCTTGAAGAAAGATTTGTTCATCATCATTGAATATGATTTTTTTTTTCAGTTTCAGTGAAAGGTTTTGAGCTATTACCACTGTTGGCATTATACATGTTTGTATGGCATCTGTATTAAAAAAGCAATCTCTGAATAAACCAACTGACAAAAAAAGATTTGATGTTATTGAAATCTGGTTATTCAACACATGTCTCATAATTTTTCCATTCGTCACTGAATCGTCACGACCTGAACATGAACTGCAGTAAAAGACCTGCTCGACAGGATTAATCAGAAAGCAGATTGTTCTCTATGTTTGGAGAGATGGTTGATAGTGTCACATCATGTCAGGACAGTGACGTACTCTGAGGTGTTGAACACACTATGAAAATGAGGCCTATTAATACAAGACTACATTTATACAGTGGCAAGAAAAATACAATTTTAAACTGCAGTTTTTCTTTGCACATGGAGGTTTATGTTTAACTCATGTCCCTTAGTTGGTTGGTTTAGTTGTTTGTTTGCAGGGTGAGGTGAAATCTATGAAACTTGGTGGAAGGATGGGACATGAGCCAACTGCAAATATTTGACACAGGTGCAGACAAAGGTGCGGATCCAGGAAGTGTTTTTAATTCTTTCTTTATCATAGTGAGATTTGTTTTTTGTTTTTTGACAAAATCTTAGATTTCCCAAGAAATAATTCTATGGATCTCAATGAAAAAATCCAGGCCTGTTTAGACGACTGATATCTATGTGTGTGCAATGTTTTTTTTTTTTTTTGATAGCCTATGTTTTTTTATATTATATATAAATATATTTATATATATTTTATACTATATAGAAATATATACATTTAAATATTCAATCTAAATATACATGTTAAATCTAAATTATGAGTCCTAATGTAACTTTTTGATCGAAACATTAAATTGAAATCTACGATCTGAAGTAAAATCATTATGGGGCTAAATCTGGTGAAGTGCTGTAGTTATTTGAGATCATCTGAGATAATCTAAAGAAAGTCTTTTAAGATCTTTAGCCACAGAGAAGATTGAATCGTGTGATGATTCACCGGTGCAGAAATAAACTTTGGAGCAGCGACACGCCCACCTGAGCTGTCACTCATTGACAGGAGCACTTCTCAGGTGAGAGCCGAGCTCCGATCACTCGTCTCCCGGAGGAACCCGGAGCTGTTATGCTGCAGCTGAGCGTCAGTGTGGATCCACGGGTTTCTACGGGCTCCGCTCTTTGTCTTCGGGATGAACTGACTGGAGCTCAGGGGACAAGACTCGTGCGTCGGAGAGAAGCTCCCTGTGCCAAGCGCGCGGCCGCTCCGCTCTCCAAGCCATGGACTCCGCGCTGCGCCTCCACCTCCGGAGGCCACGGTTTCACTTTGTGCTCCTGCTGCTGCTCCAGCTGCGCCTCGGCCTGTTGGTGTCCGCGGGAGAGCTGGAGATGATGGAGCAAGACGCACCTGAGCTCATGTGTAGCGAGGTAACAAGTCACCATGATGATCTAAAGGTTTCTCTACCTTGGTGCCGTGCTTGTATAGTGGTTAGTTTATGGCTGTAATAGGCCCACACCGTACACACCTGATGTTATCTCTTGTTTGTTTTATTTGGCCATTTGTTTAAACCAGCTATTGTGTCTTCAAACCTGACATTTACGAGGTAACACAGAAAGCCAATTAAAAGTCCTGTTTGCAATCCAGTTGTTGGAATGAATGTGAGCAAATCTCTGTGTTTTGTTGATGAGACTGAATGTGCAGGCTGTAGGTTTATGTGCTGCAGGAGATCAGAGTGTAATGCCCATTACTTATTTACTACTGAGCACTAGCAGGACACTTTACTCCCCTGCTCAGTTTCCAGGGATCGAGGGCTGAGTTGAAACTGGACATTGTTTCAGAGCAGAGCGAGGAATCCTTCAAACAGTAAGAGAGACTGTCCCGAGAAAAATCCTCCCTTTTTGGTGCCATTTTAGGAGGCACCAAATGTCAACAACCCCACCCCTCGTCCAACTTTTCCTTGTGGCAGATTTACTTTAGTGGGATATTGTTATGGGTGAGGGGAGTTGTTAGTTACACTCATCAACATCTTGTCTTTCTCTAGGGTTTGTGGGACTGCCACGTGAAGTCAGGTAGCAACACAATCAACACAAGTGCATTATAACCTGACAACAGACGTAGTGTGAAGTTTGTCTGAAGCAGAAACACATCTCTGTCTCATCAGTCTCTCAGTTCGCTGCTGCGCTGCCTGATCCTAACGATGCAGTGCATGTTACACACGTGCATCTGAAAGTGATGCTGTGCTGCTCGGATGCTCAAGACTGTGAACCCTGCCTGCGGATCATCATCACAGTCAAAGGTAAGTTTGTCATCATGTCTCAGAAGGTAATGTTTCATCTTGTTGGTTTGTTTGCAGGATTTCACAAAAACCACTGGGTTATGTTTTTTTTCCCTGTATCTTTATTCAAGAGTGTGTCTTCAGTAGCAGACTTCAATAACTTCACAAAGCATTGAACTACAGCCAGGTCCATCTCATGTTTGGGTCCCCTGGAAACATTTCCGATGTCATTCAAAATGTCCCTACCAATAGAGTTCCAGGAGTGGTGAAATTTCCCCAGCCTCATATTTTGTGTGTTAACTTTATTTTTTGGGAGCGTTCTGTAGGGGCGGACATGAACCTGGTTAAAGTAACCACACGATTGATTGGTTTGTTTGATTGTTAGCAGGAGAATGCAAAATCAGGGTTAGGGTTTAGGGGTTTGGGCAGATTACCACAGAAGAAGGAAGGATGTGGATGATTTAAAAAAAAAAAAATTCTTTTAACATTTTTGTTGATTTCTCACAGATCTTGATTTTTTAAAAAGCTGTCATGTTTAGGGTGTGGAGTCCGACTGAGTGCCATTCAAGTTCTAAAATCATTTCTCGAGAAGCCAACTGACTGTCAACTTTTCAGCTACTGTATTATAAAAGATTGCGTTCCGTGCCATCATACTTACTGTGGTTGCGTTGCCTTCACAGTTGCTGAAGAGGTTTCTGAGGAGTCAGTGGAAGACGCCGATAAACAGGAGTTATTCAGCATGAATCAAAAGATGGAGGGAAGTGGTCAGAATGTGCTCCCCCAACCAACAGGTAAAAACTATATGCTCAACCCAAAACACACAGTCTTTTCTTATTTTTCATCGTTTTAAAAAAAATACTAATTACAATTTCTCTTCTTCTCCTCCACTTTGTGTTACAGCTTTGGTGAAAGTGTGTCTCAGCTCTCCAGGCCACAGTGAAATTTGTAAGATGCTAAATTTCAAACTGAGTCCCTCAACTTTAGCTTCTCAACAGCCCACACATAAGGTAAATAATATCGGGCACTTGTTAATGAATTACCTCATGTAGTTGTTGCTTCTGTTGATTAGAATCTAGTAATAGAATATTAAATATATCAAAATGTCAGCTACTTGTATTTGGTTAACTCAATTTAATCTCATTTTAAACTTGACCTCTGCTACGTCTCAGAGACAAAAGAACCATTTTCCAAAGCATCTTGGTCTTTGTGTACATATTAAGTGATTCAAAGTTTAAAATGGGAGAGAGGAGGAGGAGTTTGGATTTTATGGAGAGAAACTGTTATGGCTGAATGATTTTCTGATTTGGACAGCGTTCAAGAAATGTTTAGAGAAACTCAACAGTTCCCAGAATGAGTAACACTTTGTCGACTGCGGAGAGAAAAACACTCCTTAATTAACTGGAAGAAACCTCTAGAACCAGAGTCAGTGTGGGCGGACATCTGCCTCAACCTGTTGGGGTGAACGGAGATAAATGGGGAAGAGACCAAGAGACCAGTAACCATCATTTTCCAGCTCTGTCAGACTGTGAGCTGCTCAGTAGATCAGGCATCATTACCTCTGTACCTTTTTTAATTAAACACTTACTGTCATAAGCTGTCCCATTTACCTACATAACATATGGTTGCAATAAAGGTAAGATAAAAAGGAATAAGATTAAATTATGGCCACTGCTGCCTGAGGCAATCTAATGAACCAATTCCAAAGGTCTTTGTAAGTACCATGAATTTACACACCCACATTTATAACCATAGGGCCCAGCTTCAAAAATACCAGAATTCCTCTCGATGTTTCCAGCAGATGCAGCTGCTGTTGACGGAGACGGTGATGTTCGACAGTCCTGTTGTGGTCCAAGTCCACGCACATTCAAAGGAAACTCTCAATGTCCAAAAAATCACAATCCCGTCTTTAGAAGAAGGTGAGTTCAGTTGCTGCAGTGAAAGCAAAGACAGCGCTGAATGGAGTCATTTGTGATTTCATTGAACAATTTCTTGCAGTTTGCTCCATGAACCTGGAGGCGCATGTAAAGGAATGCGATGGTAAGAGATACTGTGAAATACTGCATGTGTACACGTGCACACACTGATGAGCGAAAACACACAGTTATGTAGAAAGACACCTGTGCACCTCAGTGGGGATTAAAGTCTGACTTGTCTCTGACTCAGTTCCCAGACTCCGAGCTGAGACGGATCCCAGGAAAAACGTGGTCCTCCTCCACCTGGAAAACACTAAAGCCAGACAAGATGATCTCATGTATCAGATGATTTGGAACGAAAGACCTGGAGAGATTCTTGCATGGGTCAGTCAGTGCTAAATTATCCATACTGTGTAATCATATCAGTCTGATGATCCAATATTAATAGTGGTAGTGTCTGTATGTATCTGTGTAACCTTTTCTAACCTTTGCAGCCCAAAGGCCAGAGAGAAACGGTCATATCTTCAAACTTTGTTACACCATGTCTGTGCTTCCAGGTAGCGTTAATGTTAATCGTAATAAACAAAAAATAACAACTACAGACTTTTATATTTGAAAATAATACTGAAAAAAAATGCTTTCAGGTGTGGTGGAAGGGAAAAGCCCTTCGAAGAGAATTCTGTCCTTTCAAAAACCAACATGGTAAAAAAGGGCGTCAACTTCTGATCCATTTCTTTTTATCAGAAACGCACCATTGCAGTGTTTTTGTTTTGTTTTATTTTTATTTTTATTTCAGATGCATTTGAAAGAATGCAGCACAATGTGTCTGTGTCCCTGGAGGAGTTTCAGATGAGGGACGGTGGCACAGGGCTTGGCTGGAATGTGACTGCCCCCTGCAGACTGGAGGCAGAGGTGTGGCTGTGCAAGAAAGAGCTGGCAGGAGGCCGATGTGAGGAGGTGACCGGCTCCAGACAGCGGCTGCACAACCATGCACATGCTGGCTGGAGGACAACACGCAATGGACACTGGGTAAAGAAACATCAGGACAACAACATGATGACTCATATTGTCTGGTTCAGTGAATTATTTTTAGACACATCACGACTGACGATAACATTTTATTTTCCTCCACAAATGAGATTTCTAAATGTTTGTACAATTTGGTGCAGCTTGATTGAATTTAAGAGGAACGATGGGCCTGAGTGACATGTATATGGTTTTCTTCATTCATTTAATAATTTATTTGCTTTACAGACGACAGGAGAGTTCAATGTGTCATCACACCCTCTGCTTTGTGTTCAGGTGATACTTGATTTACTTTCTTATAGTATGTAAATATAAATGTGTATAAATACAGTACATACTGTACTCACATGAACTCCTTGTTTTCAGATAAAGATACATGGGATGGAGTCACACTTGGAGCCCCAGTGTCCATTTACAAGTAAGAGAATGAATTATTGTTCAGACCCAGATTAAGAGTTAGTGTTTAACTCTTATCAGCCAAAATGAGCCACGTTTTTTTATTCTTACTTGGTAAATAAGCGGTCAAACATTTGCTTAGCACTCTTCACTCTCCAGTGATTGAAGCCCTCAGCCGTCCCTGTGAAGCTGTTTTAACGTGCTGGTGAAAGACTGTGCTTCATAATTCATTCATTTTTCCAGCATCTCGGTGGAAATGGAGCCTGCTGCTCCTCATCGGATTACTGCTGATATGTTTGGCCATACTCGGAGCCTATTTCATACAAGGGGTTGTGAAAGGTCAGTTAAATATTTGCAGGTCATTAAATATTATTAGCACCTCATCAGAAGACCTCAATGTGGGCTTTGTTCTTTTCTTATAGGCTACGTATGGCGATGGTTGAAAGAGGACGACGTGAAAGGTCTGCCCCTTTATACTGTTAATTAATGTTTAATGTTCTTGTGTTTAAAGAATCACTTCTGTCGGCTGCTGCTGTTCAGCCCTGCTTTGTTTTTGAGAGTAGTACTGATCCAGAAAGCAAACAAGCAAACTGTACGTCTTGATAAAGGTTTTAATCTTCCTTTGTGTCAGGTGCAGTGGGTGGTGGTCATGTGGTGTTGCTGTACCCACCTGATGGTAACCAGGGCTTGCCGGAGCTGATGTGTCACCTGGGCTCGTCCCTCCAGGCCCTGGGCTTCAGCGTGTCTCTGGACCTGTGGAGCCAGGCTGAGCTCAGCATGCTTGGCCCCGTCCCTTGGCTCCATTCAAGACTGGACCGTCTTAAGCGGCAGGGAGGCAAAGTGGTGCTAGTTCTAACCCAGGCCACCTGGATAAAGGCAGAAGAATGGGGAGCTCAGAGCTGGGAGAGAAACACCGCCAGCAATGGGAATAGATACAAGAAGGAAGAGGAAAAAGGGAGGAGCGACGCTGCTTCCGCTCCCTGTGTGGATGTCTTCAGTGCTTCGTTTAGCTGCATTCTAGCAGACTATTTACAGGGCCGTGCGGGGGAGCGGTTTATGTTGGTACAGTTTGAATCACTTCCACCAGAGACTCAAGGTGGTGCTTGGCCGCTACCAGAACTCTTTCGCGGCCTTCATGTCTACAGCCTCCCCTCCCAGAGCCTGGGCTTTCTGACTGAGCTGGCTGGAGCTCGGCAAATGGCCACTGCATCAGCCAGACGGAAGCGGGCAGGCGGCCTCAGGGTGGCGTCCCGAGCTTTGGCGAGAGGGCTGTCTGGGTTCACAGCAGGGACAACAATACTACGCTTTCCAGGGAAGTCCCAGAGCTGTGTTGGGTTAGGTGTAGAAGAGTCTGGAGAAATGGTTCCATTGCAGCCATGTCTTATTACTCCTCCCTCCAGCCCCGAACACAAGCCCCAATATCAACGAAATGGAATGGGTCTGACAGCAGGAGAGTATGACCCATGATGAGCAGCCAGTAATGACTTGAAAGAACCTGAACACTCAGGGAGACTCATGAATGTCAATGTTGGTGTTCAGATTTTGCATTTGCTGGTGAAAACATCAGGGTTCCATAACTGTGGGGAAGAGCTTCCTTCACGTGTGTGGCAGCAGGAAGAAGCTGGGTTGTTATTGTTTGAGTTGCTGCTGCTCCAGAGAAATGAAAGTGCATAACATTAAAAATCAACACTAAGAAAATTCACATCAGTGATTCATTACTAAGTGGTCTGTGGTGATATAGCCTAATTTAAAAAAACCTTACTGTTTGTTAAACTTTAACTCTGAGTGTCCTTGTGGAATATGTTGGTTCTGGAGTTACTCCCATATTGTACTGTGCTGTGTACTGTGTTAAATGTTAATGTCAAGGACACTGGAAGAGGGGTTGCTGAGGAAGCTGCCGCAGCCCCTACTGGCAAGAAGTTCTAACTACATGGCAATAATATATGAGAATATTTTATTTGACTTCAGAATATTCAATGTGTTTTTGTGAAGCGGTTGCAAATATGTGCTGTAGATAACATTAGGTGCAAACTAAACAGATTTCAGTGGTGGTGATAAGATTTGTGATTTTTTCCTGGCCCCCCAAAAGCCAACCAATGATAGAAAATGTTTTAAAAATGATGCTACATATTGTTGGATATTCAAATTAACACAAAGCCACACCCCTGCTGCAGTGCATTCAATATGATGTAGTTGCTGTAGATAGACTTTCAGCAACTCCACCAACCAAGTGACCTCCAGCGTCCCTGTGACAGCGTGTAGTGGTGACATGGCTCAATATGTATCCTCCTCATAATCTTGTCCTTTTTATGCGTATTACACATTCTGCTATTATTGTACTGTTTATACAATTTTGTTATCACAGATCCACACACTGAGTCCTTAAGTTCATTAATCGTACCTGTTGATCACTTCCCACGCAGCAGAAGTGAGTTTTGATGACCAGAGTGGAATTCAGACATGTACTTAAAGGACACTGGTGTTTCTTGGTAAAATGTTGGTGTAGCTCAGTGTTTATTCTGAGATCATGCAACAGTTGAGTCTTTCCATCCGCATCTTTCATATTTTGGGGAACTATATATATTAGCTGCAAATACAAGTTGTAAAATTGGCCATATTCCATTTGGCTTATTGGAAGTTACTAAGAACAGTTGCTGGAATGTTTATTTTGACAATATTCTAATATTTATCTGGTGACCTGATCGTATCTTGTCCTGTATCATCTGTTAACACGTAGATGAGGTCTGGAGACGTCTCCTTACTGTCTCCGGTTACTCCATTGTCACCAGGTAATAATGTTTCTTGTTGTGTGCACCGACCTTAGACACAGCAGCTTTCTCTTGGTCGGGGGGGGGGGGGGGGGGGGGGTAACCTGATTCCCAAGGCAACTGTTGCCACTGCTGAACACTCAGTGAATGCACAGGCAGGCGAAGGTTAAATCTCTAACTTGTACCAGTGCAGTCATTTGAATTAGTGTTATGATTGAATGTGAACAGACCTGCAACTTTAAGAGGAAAAATAAATCCTGCAGGACAAAGACACGAAGACTGAACTTGTCTGGTGGACGGACGGAAGAAAAAGACTGGACAACAAAATGAAACTACGTGAGATAACTTTTGTTGTTTCTAATAATGTTGGTAGTGAACAAGCTGTGACTCTGTTTATCTCAATCTTCATTACCACAGCAGCCATAGCTTCCACACCAGTGTGTGTTCCTCGTGACACAGCTGCTGTCAGTCTGGAGACGTCAGCTGTTCACCACCACAACCACCAGAGGACACTGATCATGCAGAGAAGAGAGCACCACAGGTAGGAGCACTCATCACTGTGACTCATGTTTAACTGAGAATCACCAAAAGAAGACAAGTCACAGAGGCTCCAGATCTAATCCCATCTTGATTTTGCAGAGCTGAGTTTAAAGTCTTGTCATCGATGTGTCAGGTATCATCAAGTGTGGAGAAAACCCTTTTATGGAAGCAGCAGTGAAAGAGAAGAATACAGGTGAACGTGTGGATACCTTCACTTCTCATGTTGTGTTGATGAGTCTTTTTATCCTTTAAATGTGTCCTGCAAATACACTTTAGTGACGAGTCTGTCTTCTTCTGACAGGAGGGAGCTGCGAGAACAGTTAAAGAGGCAGATGGAGGAGAAATGTGCGGCACTGAAACTGCAGCTGGTCGGTAAAGTGAAGGAATCAGAGTATTTACGTGAAGTGGACCGTCTCGCCCTGTCCAGTGACAGAGAGCAAAGGATCCAGCACAGCAAAGCAATGACAGTGTTCAGAGATGAGAACAAGAAGGTGATAAAAATGCCCAAATACTTTAATTTAAAAGGCTTTTATTCCTTGTGTCAATATAAAAATACATTCTCATCACTAAACAACAGGTGACATATTCCATATTGTTATAAAACACATCAGTATGTGAGTCTGTGGAATGCACTTGTTGGCAGATATCTGGCCTTTGTGAATAATAACATTCTTTACATAACAACTAGTTTTTGTACTTATGTCAAAGTAGTGTCTTTTTAAATAAACTTGTTTTATAATGACATATTTTACACTGTACACTCACAATCCCTTTCAAGTAATCCAATAGAGTAAACTGGCTGATGGGCACTTTTCTTATAGTCTGTAATGACAAACACACAAACATTACAGGTATTACTTAAGCTCCAGAAGCTCCACATTCACACGACAATAAACTGATTTCTAAATATATCACAGTAACAACTGTATTACAGTGCATGAAAGCAGATGCTGAGAGGTCAGAAAACCAATTGCACAAGAACATGAGGCCACTGTGATCTTGCTCTTTGTCCTTCAACCACAGACATCTAATCAGGTCATTTTTGAATCCAAGTGAACACTTCTACAAAATTTGAAGACATTTTCTCAAGGTGTTCCTGGAATTTTGTGTTTTGTCAGGTCACTTCGACCACCAAATTTTAATCGGTTCATTTATGAATAAAAGTAAACATGTTAGTGCCAAATTTGAAAGGATTCCCTTGAGGTGTTCCTGAGATATCGCAAGGTAAAAAATATGTTTGGTGAGGTCACAAAAAGTGCTGCTAATAGATGCACTGTGTGAATGAGTGTGTGAATGGCAAACTGTACCGTACAGCGCTTTGAGTGGTCATCAAGACTAGAAAAGCGCTATATAAATACAATCTATTTACATATGACCTGCATGGAGTCATAAAAATGAAACGTTCAAAAGAGCTGCTTGTTGTGAAGAAACTCTGCCCCCCATATACATTACAGATTCTCTGCTGTGGTTTTAGGGAGGTCAGTTTGGTTCATCGATGGGTCTGCGACAGTACGGACAGCAGTTGTGCTGAAGCACCAGGAGTTCGTAATCCTCACTATGAAACATCTACAAGGAAACAGACAGATAATACAATTATAACACATGAGCAACATGACAGAAGAAAAAATAAAACAGTGTTACTGTAAAAAAAAAAGACAGAGAAAGAACATCAGACCAAGTCAAGTTAGATGTGAATGTTGTAGATACTGTACCTTGAAGCAGGTGGGGCACATGGTGATGCTCACATCTGGCAGCAGGGAGCGGAAGTATTCCCACTTGAGTGGCCTGGGCCAGCGTTTGATCAGGACGTCCCTCCTGCTCATGGAGCGCAGCGCTGAGCGACTCACCTTGATGGGGACAAAGTTCGAGCCCCCCTGCTGCTTGGACACACAGAAACACATCCATGTTTTAAAATGGACCCGTCCTTTCACCTTGTCCAGCTGGTTCGTCCAGTTGGTGGAATATTAATCACCTCGTCTGTTACTTACATCAAAGCTCATTTTGGCAGAGAACGGGTCGTCCTCTGCTTCATCTGCAGCCTCATCCAGCCTCAAAGACTGCAGCTCTGATTGGTGATGTTAAAGAACAAATAGCCCAAGCAATGTTTACATTTCACACAATATAAATGCATTGTTCATATTTGTATTATATATATTTTAGGTGATTATACATTTTCAACACAGGAAAAATCTCCTTCCAAAATGATTCCTCAGAGACTTTTCTAAGAGTGAAAGTGTTCAAACTGCCAATCAGTCGTGCCTGTCAGTCACGTCGTGGCTCTGGGAGAACAGAGCAGACCTCAGTGCCCTTGAGTGTCTGCTGGCTAATGCAGGTTAATCCCTGCACTAGGGGCTGTGGCTACGGCTCTCAGAGGGTTAGTGTCATTAAGAAGAGACAGGAGAGCCTCGCTAACCCTATTAGCTCAAGAGCTAAGATGACTTAGCTCCGACAGCTTACCCAAGCTTCTTAGAACTGTCACAAGGCGAATGAGAGTCACATGCTTCATTTTGAACAGATCTGCAGTGTGTTAGGGCAGAGCTCATACAAAGCATGTGAATCATCTGTTACTTTGTTTGTATTTATGTTACACCAGTGGTCAAAGGATACCATTGTCCGTATCTTGCTGGTTTGCATCCCTCTCATCCATTTGAGGAACTTCCAGGTCAATAAGAGACACAGCCTCCTCATCACTGATGCCCTCCTCCAGATAGAACTGAACAAGGGGCAGCACCTCTGTACACAAAAGACAGACCCATTAGAAACACAATAACAATGTTAATATCTTTATCAATATAGAACTTCTCAAAACAAAGTTACGAAGTGTTTCACAAATCAAAACATAAAATCAATTCAAAACACAGCCATTAAATAAAAAATCAAATGCGTGACAGAAATTAGTCTGTAAAAAATAAATAAGGTCAAATGGTATGAAAAGAAAATGCTTTACTGACCATATGAGGAAGCTGAGTAGATGAAAGGCTGCCTGCAGTTGATGCACATACTCCCCTGGTTGTTCAGCAGGGGGTTGTTGGTGGAGCAGCGGTAGCACATCATGGCTTCTATCAGATCCTGCAGTAAACACATGGTGGAAGATTAACCAATACAAGAATGGATAATGGCACTAATATTAAAAGATATGTTATGAACAATGCTTTAGACCAACGTGTACATGCAACTCTTCAACACACCTCGCTGTCGTGGAAAGGTTTAGAGCGAATTTTGACGCTGCCCAGCTCTATGGAGTCCTGGAGGCGAGAGGGAATGTACAACTCCTGGAGCTTCTCATAACAATACCTGGCAAGTTTATATGCACCCAGTTTTTCACTCTGCTTGACCAAGGCATACAAGGTGTTACTAATACTTAGGTCAAGGAAAATGTATGCAAGAGGAGGAGACTTAGGACCTAGGGACTCATCCATACTGAGTTTGTTTATGTGAAAAACATTTGTGTGAATTTATAAATAGTTGTATGTTGCATGGATTTGTCTGTATGGCTGTTTTTCAGTTTTGCCAGATGCTCAGTCTGGTTTCCTCTGTGAAGGCTGGGCTTTCCTTCCTCATATCGCTGTGAGAGACTACATGGATTTGTCTGTGTGGCTGTAGGTGGCATTGTGGGTATTTCTTTAATCAAAGTATATTATTTAGTGTGTTTGTGTATGTTTACATATGCACAGAGTTCAGTAATCATAGTATCGTATCCTCCAATCCATGATCACCCATTTTCTTTCTCTCAGCAGCAGCATGGTTTCCATTGTGGCACCAATTCTTCCGTTTTCTCTCTTCCTCTATCTCTGTTTCACCACTTTGTTATCAATGCCTCTGCCAGTCTTGATTTTAGATTACCATGTCGGCTCTTGAGAGTTTTCCAGAGAGGAAGGGCTCTAAAGTCCTTTATTATAAACATATTTGCTCGATATCGGACACAGTGTTAGAATCACATTCTAATGTGGAAGGATACACTTCAGAAATGCCTCGTGGTTTGTCCTTGGTGAGGTTGTTCAACAGGAACCTGCAGATATTGAAGAGTGTCTCTGGCATGTGGGAGCTGAAGGGCTCATCCTGAGAATGAAAACAGTTGATTTGCACAGATTATATCTCTTTATCTCTCTGTATCTTAAATGTTTTCATATTTTAAACTGACAGCAGCTGAATCGTTTGTAACGCTTCGTTGTTTCTCACACTACCAATCACTAACAACACTTTATTCTAAGAGTAGATAGTTCAAATCTATTGTGCCTGCCCAGGAGAGTTAAAGTGAGATATAGAGGTTTCCTGCACTGGTCTGGATCACAGCGATGTGTCTGTACTTCAAGTCTGTGACCAGAGTCGAGCAGAAAGCTGTAACAACAAACTGAGGACACTGATACTGGCCAGGTCACCATGTAGTGCTCATGACCAGGCTTCGTTTGTTTGTAAGTAGGTTAGAGCTTGAAGAACTACTGATGAGGTCATCACCATGATCAATCAAGCAGTTAGTTACCATGGTGATTGGGGTAAGGGAGGTTTCAGGAAGTG